TTGGAGACAGGGTCTCACTATGTAGTTCACTTTGTAGCTCAGGCTGGCCTCAAACTCACAAGGATCCTCCTGCCTCAGCCTCCCGAGTGCTGGAATTACAGGTATGTGCCACTATGTCCAACTAAGCTATCTCTATAAGCCCACATTTAAAACACATTCTTTTGAGCATCCCAATAAAAGCATTCACAAGGAAGATCTTACACAGTGAAGTTGTCAAGTGCTGTCCAAAGGTAGAAGACTGTTACTGGTAAGAATTATGTGAGGTCTCTCTGAGTCTGCCCACTCCCGCCTACTACAGGAAAGTCTGAAGACAAGAAGGGGGTGGGCCTTTGGTGTACACCTATAAACCCAACACTCAGAAGACTAAGGCAGGAAGATCTCAAGTTCAAGGTTAACCTGGGCTACATAGTGAGACTGTCTGAAACAAAACAAAATAAAAATCTCCACGAGGGGCTGGGGATTTAGCTCAGTGGCACAGTACATGCCTGGCAAGCATGAGGTCGTGAGTTTGATTCCCAGTATCAGAAAAACAAACAAACAAACAAACAAACAAACAAAAAGAAAATGCATCTGTGAGCTTTTGGGGCTGGGGATTTAGCTCAGCGGCAAAGCGCCTGCCTGGCAATCGCAAGGTCGTGAGTTCGGTTCCCGGTACCGGAGAAAAATTTAAAAAAAAAAAAAATCTCCACAACGAATGTAATCATTATGCACTCCAACATACACTAATAAAAATTTAAAAACCAAAAAAATAAAAAGGGCTGGAGAAGTAGCTTAAGGTAAGGCCCTGCGTTCAATCCCCAGTACAGGAAGGGTGAGGATCCAGACTGAGGTCCCCACTGGCTTCTGGCCAACTCCAGGCTTGGCCTCCTCGTTGTGCAGAGGCAGGTGTGAGGCTGGCTAGGACTGGAAGCTGTCAGGGACTGCTGCAGTGCTACGAACCATGGCACTAACAGCATCTTTAGCTTGATCAGCACAGCAGTCATCTCTCCAAAGCCCTGTGGGACACGGGACTTTCCCAAGGTTACCAGTGTTTCTGGGGACCCCATCTACCCACTTAAGGTAAGCTGAGTATATGAATTCAAAAGTAGCCCTTTTCTGATTTTCCAGGGCAGAGGCTGGGATTGTGTCCTTTCCTTCACCAGTGTGACTTCTCTCTTGGCCCATTCACTCACTGTTGCTTAGTCTGTGATGAGAAAGGCACTAATACCCTTGTATTTCCACATTTCCAGACATGTGCTCTGGGCAGAGGCCTCTTTTGCCTGCCTGGTCAAGAAGTAATGCATGTCACGGAGTCACAACCAGGTGAAAGCGTAGCATCAGCACCCACATTTCCCACCAGACTTGGCCAGAGCTACATGTAACGAAGCTATAAACCAGGTGTGTGTGTACACCTGTAATCCCAGCTACTCAGAAGGCTGAGGAGGATGATAAAGCATTGGATGAATACACTAAACACATACTTGAACTCCTTCAGTAGGAAGACCAATGAATGATTAGGGCAGTTGTCTGTCAAAGAGTACTGATTTTGTAGGATACTGAGCAAGCCTACAAACGATGTGTTCACGATGGGTAGACTGAAAACTCAAGTAAAATCTGAGAATTCAATAGTCAAAAGGAACCCAGTCCAATCAAATCAGGGCCAGCTATGCCTAACCAACTGCCTGTCACGAATTCTGTATGCGGGTAGTGGGGCTTGGGGGGAACCACATGGGGCCCCTAGGGACCTAGTTACCTGCCACCTTCAGCCCCATTGCACCACCCAGGCCCCTGCCCCATCTTCCTCCCAAGCATCTCCCAACCAGCCCTGCTCAGCTTGCATTTACTAGTGCACTGCGCCCTCCAGTGGCCACAGGAAGTCTTCCTTCCTTGAAGAAAGGAATGACCCTTTCGGTAGCTGGTGAGCAATTTATCCACAGAATTCCTTTCTGCAGAACTGCCATGCACACTCACCTTTCAGTTGCTCTTAGGTTTCCTCTCAGTAACAGTTCCAATCACTTTCCTCAGCAAGATTCAAGGTATCTACACCTATAAGCAAAGCTTTCAAGGTAAAAAGTAAGAATAGGAGACAGGCTATATGCTCCTTTGAAAGATGCCAAATAGTTTGGGAATTTTTTGTTGTTTTATCAAATACATCAGAGTAGTAGTGTTACCATTCATCCAACAATTATTTGTGCAGCACCTTCCATATACCTAGTACAAACTGACAAAACTCCTTCCCCTAAGGAGCTGAGTCTCTATGCAGCAAAAGGGATACAAAATAAATAATTGGCAATAAGTACTATAAAGAATACGCAGAAAAGAATCAGGGTCATTACTACTATTTGAAGTCAGGACGAGAGGCGAGGGAGCCATCCTTGTGGACACCCAGTGAAGGCCCCAGGTGAGAGGAACAGTGCCGCACTGGAGCGCCTTTTTTGTCCAGCGAACAGCCAGGAGGCCCTGTGGCCGTGGTGAGTGAGCCACTGTAATGAGGTCGAGGCGGGAGAGGGCAGAAAATGCAAGGAGCTTGCGGCCAGTGACCACGGGGGTTGCATTCGAAAGCAGATGAAGACAAAACAGGAGCCTCCAACAGACACAATGACACTAAAAAGGCATGGGGATGTAGCTCAGTGTGAAGGCTCTCGGTTCAAGCCCGCATGCTGAGCATACACCCTACCACTGCACTATGTACACCCCAGCAAGACCTTCCAGTCTCTGATACCCTAATTCATTATGGCAAACTTCAGCTACGCCTTGCAGCTCCTCACATCAACATGAACTGGTACCTTGTGCAGTTGGCCATGTGAGGTCACCTGCCTACGTCAGCAAAGCCAAGGCCAACATGGCTTGTTCTGAGTCCCTTGTAAGGACACCTGTGGCACTCACTGCTCACAAAGCTTTCATTTATGAATCACCCACCGGACCACCACAGCTGGCCCATCCCCCTCAGCCTGCTTCAGCTTTGATCCAGCTCTGTGCACGTGGTTTACGCAACTGCGTTCACCACTGTGCTTCATGCTGTGGCTGCATCCACACAGGACCTGCAAGTCACACCAGACGCCTGAGCACTTGAAATACAACTGGTCCAACTGGGAAGCACTGGAAGTGTAAAATACCCACCAGTTTCCAAAGTCACAACACACACCAAAAAACTGTAACTTTTTTACATTGACTACGTGTTGAAATATTCTGAAGAGTCAGGAATAGTGGTACATACCTGTAATTCCAGCACTCTGGGAGGATTAAGCAGGAGGATCTTGAGTTCCAATCCAACCTAGACAGCTTAGCAAGACCCTGCCTCAAAATTAAGGTCCTGTGTTCAACCCGGCAAGAGACATAGATAAAGGTGGATGAGATTTTGAATATATTTAAGAAGTTAAATAGAATATATTGCTATATAACCCAGGTGTGGTGGCACATGTCTATAATCCCTGCACTGTGAGGCTGAGGCAGGAGGACTACCATGAGTTCGAGGCCAGCCCAGACTACACAGTGACTCTTTCTCAAAAAAGCCAAAATAATAGTGATGATGATGACGATGATGATAATAATAATATTGCTGTCATTAATTTCACTTGCCTCTGTATTTTTTAATGTGACAAAGAAATTTAAGTGTTTCTACTAGACAACTATGTTCCTGAGCATCCTAAGTTTTCACTTAATGAGCAACTACAATTAAGCAAACACTCTGTCACATGCCTTACATACTAGTATTTTTTTAATCCTAGCAACTCTAAGAGTAGACATAATACCAAGACTAGGGAGCTGGTGCTCAGAAAGTTATGGAGTTTACCTGGGCGTGGTGGTGCATGCCAGTACTCTGGGAGACTGAGACAGAAGGGTTGCAAATTCAAGCCCAGTCTGAGCAATGTACCAAGACCTTGTCTCAAAGTGTAGGAGGGGCGTACAAAAATGTACCTTAGTACAAAAGCCCTGGGTCAATCCCCACTATTACAAAAAAAGCTGCAGGAGATGGTGAGATGGTGTGTGTGGTGGTAGGGGATATATGACCAGTATCAGAATGCAAAAGAAATTCCTATTGTCATAGCTCTTACAGACGTTAACAGAAGAGACTGCTACAAGCAGTTTGTTGTCTACAAACCTGACAACCAGAACCACACGGATCAACTTCTTAAAAACATAATTTACCAGAATTCCATAAGATGAAGCAGCCAGGCATGGTAGCGGCTGCTTATAATCCCAACCCTCACAAGGCTGAGGCAAGGCTGCCATGAGTTTGAGGCCAGCCTGGGCTACACACCGAGTTCAAGGCCAGCCTGAACTACTTAGTGAGACCCTGTCTTAAAAAAAAAAAAAAAAAAAATCCCAAAACAAACAGAAATGATGAAGTATAAAACCTGAACAGAGCCAGGTATGGTGGAGCGTACCTGGACCCCAGTAACTGGGTGGACGAGGAGGAAGACAGACCGCAAATTCAAACCAGCCTGGGGTACACAGCACGCTCAAGGCAGCCTGGACTACACAGTGAGATCCTGTCTCAAGGTAACCAATAAATGCTAAGGAGCCCCACACTTCAAAAACTAATGATAAAAAAAGCTTCTTACAAAGAAAACTTCAGGCCCAGACAGTTTACACACATCAACTCTATAAACGACAATGAGGATAGTTAGAATTGGGTTATTAAAAAATGAGCCTTTAATATTAATGGGAATACTGGTCATGAGTCCACAGTAGGCAGGTTGTAATTAGGAGGTTCCACATCGGAAATCAGCTCTGGTGAATTCATTTCTTCTTCCCCTTTGAAGGCTTGGCAAATAATACCGGGTCGATCTGCTCCCTGACCAGGCCCCTGACGGAGAAGAGCCTGGCTGCACGCTCCTGCAGCGTGCCTCCGCACTTCAAGCCCAGGCCTGCCAACGCATACTTAAGCTTCTCCAAGCCCAGCAGCTCCAGCTCGGCTGCAGAGCTGAACACCAGCAAGTCCAAACCTTCCTCAGTGAGACCCTGGGGGAAAAAGGTAAGACAGACTTAAAATAGGCTCTTCTGAATTAAGACTTTGTTCAACAGTTGAATACATCCTATTTTTCACGGAACTGTCATTTAATCTGCCATTGTCTTTCTTTTTTCTTTTTTTGGTTTTTTGTTTTTTTTTCCCGGTACCAGGAATTGAACTCCCGACATCGTACTTGCCAGGCAGGCACTGTGCCGTTGAGCTAAATCCCCAGCCCTGCCATTATCTTTCTAGCTATTGAATTTCAAACATTCAGGGCAGAAACAGAAGTAAAAGATTCCAGGATAGATTTTTTTTTTTTGGCAGTGCAGGGGATCAAACCCAACCCACCAAGGATGCTAGGCAGCAATCTCCCACAGAGCAGCATCTCCAGCCAGGACAGGTCTTAATGTTACTTTTCTGATTTTTTCGTAAAAAGTCTAAACAGTAAAACATACCCAGCCTACCCCTACACTACTACCACAGAAAACTGTAGGCAAAAAAGTTTAATTTGAGCTGGGCATGATGGCACACGCCTGTAATTCCAGCACTGGGGAAAGTGAGGCAGGAGGACCCACAAGTTTACTGCCAGCCTGGGCTACATGGTGAGGCCAAAGCCAGCCTGGAATACATACAGTAAGACCCTGTCTCAGAAAAACCATAATATAAAAAATGAATAAAAAGCTTAATTTTAATAAACTGTCCCTGCCTCTTAATCTCTTAATTCCACAGTCTTAATATTTTCTAACTGAACAAGACCAACTGTCAGTTACCACTTATATAACTCACCAAATTCAAATACATGTAACAGATCTGCAACTGCTCTATCCAGGTAGTATCTTTATAGACTTTAACACAAAATTCAATATTTCTAGCCAGACGTAGTAGCACACACCTGTAACCCCAGCACTCAGGAGGCTGAGGCAGGAGGATGTTTCCAACTTTGAGATCAGCCTGGGCTACAAAGTGAACTCAAAGCCAGCCTGAACTGCATAAAGACCCTGTCATGGGGCTGGGGATCTAGCTCAGTGGCACAGCACCTGCCTGGCAAGCGCAAGGTTGTGAGTTCGATTCCTGGTACCAGAAGAAAAACAAAAACAAAAGAACAAAAACAAAAACAAAAGACCCTGTCGCAAAAAGACATACGTATATACGTACATACATACACATACATCTTTCTAACACTCTGCAAAGAAGTAAATGATATTTTAAAATATATTTTTAGAGGACTTCCAGGAAGATGGTAAAGCAGTAATCAAACAGTGGGTCAGCCTGAGACTCGGAACCCAGACACTGGAATATAACAACCTGAGGAAGAAAGAAGGGAGGCAGACCTCAGGGACCCAGCAAGGTTTTGATGGGAGAACTGGAGCACACAGGGAAAGTAAAGAAACAGACCTTAGGGCGAGCAAGGGAAGGAGGCCACAAACTGCACTTTCTCCCTGACCCCCAGCTCATGGCATGACAGATGAAGCTCGAATCTACAGACAGTGAAGATGGGAGACCAGAAGCCACCACCGCAGGTGACCCCAGCAGCCTCCATGGAGAAATGCCTCAGAAGGACAGAGCACTGGGTGCTGTGAACCACAACAGCTGGTGAGTGACTCTACTCCAAGCATCCCCTGGAGGGGAGGCCTGGACAGACACCATGTTAGGAAGCGGCCAACTGAACCCAGGACTGAGAGCCAAGGGTCGGCCTCCTCTCAGGAATCCTAGTAACTGGGTGAGGCACAACCACGGACGACACCCAAGGTCAGAAAGCCAAGGCCAGGCTGGCAAGAGACACCCTGCGCTGTAGGCTGAACTCAAGCCCAAACCCCACAACCAGAGGCCAAGATCAGACAGAACTTCTGTGGAGCTGAAAGCAACAGGATCAGCACCCCACCCTAACCCTACTGCAGGCTTGCTGAGATCATCCAGGACAGGTCTAGGCTCTGTCTACCTCCTTTACCTACCAGAGACAGAAAAGACAAGCCCTGAATTAGACATTACCAGAGCCTAACTAGGCATGCTGACACAATGGCTGCTGAAAATTACATACACCACTTTGAGATGATGAGAAATGGTTTTGCTCTCATCAAGTTTTCGACTGTGAGAGGTGGGGGTGTAGGTCAGTGGTAGAGTGCTTGCCTAGCATGCACAAGACCCTGAGTTCAATCTCCAGTACCACCAAAAAAAATAAATACATAAATACATAAATAAATACATACATACATATATAATAAAAGAAAATTTTCAGCTGCAATGAAACTGGCCTTTTCTGGAAGAAAATGCCCAGGAAAACACATATTACCCAGGAAGAGAAGAAAATGCTAGGTCACAAGCCTATGTAGGCTAGGCTAACCTTATTGCTATGTGCCAATGGGAGTGAAGGTCTGTTGGTTCATCACTCTGAGACCCCTAGAGTGGTCAGAAAACATAAAGTCATGAAGAACAGGACAGGAGTCATGTGGAGCTGTAACTCAAAAGCCTGGGTAACAAGAATACTTTTCTTGAGAGGGTCAGGAAGGCTTTCTGTCCTACTGTTAAGGAATATCTAGAGGACAAAGGTTAACCACTCAAGGCTCTCCTCATCATGGATAATGCTCCTGTTCACCCACAAGAAGAATTGGCTGGAGAATTTTCACGGCTCTCAGTCAAGTTCCTCCCACCTAATATTTCTCAAGTGGTCCTTCTGAAAATTCTTCTTCTGAAACAAAGGAAATCTCCCAAAAAAGACATTTGTAGAGAAGATCCACCCAGACAGAGAAAAAGCCTAACTGTTGCATTTACTTGCATAATGACAATGTCCTTTCACACTATAGAACAGTTAAAGACAGAAGCAGACAACCTCAGACCAGTTCTTAGTTCTGAGAAGATTGAGACCTAGTGAGCCAGAAGCAGACCCTAGTAGGCTACAAACTCCCAAGGAAAGAAAAGTCACAGAGAGCCACGGTCCTGATGTTCCCGTGGAAGGGGACTCTCCTTCCAGACAGTAACCGCCTTCCACTTCACCCCCCTTCCCGTGAGCCAAACACGTCAATGTGAATGGTGAGTACAGTGTGAAACTGCTGTTTCTGGTAAACTAGGCATACTCTATAACTTTTTGGTGAATACACAAGGAAAATTATTGGTGTTCCTGGTAAATTATGCACATTATACAACCCTTTTCTTCATTATGAAAAGGTTAGATAAGGGGTGCTTTGGGAGGCTTGCAATGCATTATGGGTATTTCCTTTTTTTCTTATGGGAAAAGTAGTCTTGACTTACAATCAACTTGAGTTAAAACTAGCCCCTCATGAACCAATGGAGTTCATAAGTCAAGGATTCACTATAATTAAAAAACTACCACCACCAACAACAACCAGAAGCTCACGCCCTGACAGATTCGCTGTTGAATTCCATAAGAAATTTAGAGAGGATCTAATACCACTACTTCTTAAATTCTTTAATGAAATTGAAAGGGAAGCAAGACTCCCAAAGTTATTCCTGGAAGCAAGCATTACCCTGACACCAAAACCAGAGAAGAATCCAGCCAAAAAAGAAAAATATAGGCCAATCTCCTTAACGAACATAGATGCAAAAATCTTCAATAAGATACTGGCAAAAAGAATATAGCAAGTCGTCAAAAAGACTGTACACCATGACCAAGTAGAATTCATTTAAGGGATGCAGGGATGGTTCAATATACACAAATCAATAAATACCTCACATTAACAGAACCAACAATAAAAACCACATGATCATCTCAATAGATGCAAAAGAGTGGCTGACGAAGTCCAACACTCAGTCATGATACAAATCCTACAGAAAAATGGAATAGATGGTCTTTATCTCAATCTGATAAAAGCCATCTATGACAAACCAACAGCCAACATCATACTACACGGTAAAAAACTGAAAATTTTCACTCTAAAATCAGTAACAAGACAAGGATGCTCACTATCACCACTCCTGTTCAATATGGTTCTGGAAACATTAGCCAAAGCAATTAGACAAGAGAAAGAAATCAAGAAGTAAGGTCAGGAAAAGAAAAAGTTAAATTATCATTATTTGCATATGACATGATACTCTACATGGACGAGCCCAAAAATCCACCAAAAGACTCCTAGATTTAATAACCAAATTCAGACTTGAGGATCAGTGTAACAGAAGATGCAGAAACAACTCCAAACACAATCAACTACCTTATCTCTGGCAGAGTGGCCAAACACCTTCACTGGAAGAAAGATAGCCTCTAATAAATGCTGCTGGGAAAACTGGCTTTCCACATGCCAAAGATTAAAACTAGACCATTATCTTTCACCATGCACTAACCTAAAATTAAAATGGATCAATAATCTAAATATTGAAACAGAAACACTAAGATGGGCATTGTAACTTGCACGTGTAATCCCGGCATTTAGAAGGCAGAAGCAGGAGGATGGCTGTAAGTTTCAGGCCAGCCTGAACTACATAGCAAGACTCTGTCTCAAACAAAAAAACAAAATAAATAAATAAATAAATAAATAAATAAAAATAAAGCAAAACAGTTAATCTGCTGGAAGAGAAAATAGGTAAAACTCTTCGAGAGACACAGGTATAGGTGAGGACTTAATGAACAAAACCCTGATTGCCCAGGAAATATTACAAAGAATCAACAAGTGGGATCTCATCATCCCCAGCAAAAGAAACCACCAAGAGTGAAGAGACAATCCACAGTGTGGGAAAAATTTTTGCCAGCTATTCCTCAATGATCTAATATCTAGAATATATAAAGAACTCAAAAAAATCAGAACCCCCCCCAAATGGAAAGACTCAGTCCAAAACTGGACATCTAAAATGAACAGATACTTCTCAGATGAAGAAATTAAAACAGCAAATAAATACATTAAAAAATGTTCAATATCACTTGTCACTCGAAAAATGCAATTAAAACAACAATGAGATTCCATCTCACCCCAGAAAGAAAGGCTATCACCAAGTAATCAACCAATAATAAATGCTGGCAGGGCTGTGGGGAAAAAGGAACTCTTCTCCACTGTTGGTGGGAGTA